AAACATATAACTAGACCGTAAAGGTCTTGCCGGGAAAAAGGTCATACGAACCTTAACTCCGAAACGAACTACGAAAGGCTTGATCCCCTCAAAAGGGTACGTAGGCAGCCTTCACAAGGCGCAGCCCTAATCTTAAACGCTTCCCGCTCCCTGGAGAGTGGAAAGATCACTTTCAACGGACCTTTCCGACCATTAATTCGATGTCCGGAAAATGGGAGGTCGATGATCCGCTCGCCTTCGTCCAGACGCCTTCTTCCGTCTGACTATCAAGGAAGTCCTTGAGAATATTGTCAGGAGAAGCCGCGCGTTCAGAGTCATCATCTTCAACAACCGGATTTTTATCCCTTCGGAAGCTTGATTTGCCACTCCTCATCGAGGGAACATACAGAATAAACTCCCCGATAAACGGATCCTCTTCATAAATCGGAGAATTCGTAAAGCTTCGAGATCGGAAGAGGGCACCCGCTTGGCGGACGCGTTACGGAGAAAAACTGCATCAACCGACTTCACCACATTTGAGAGAAGTGGTGATGTTCTGGAGATCCGCGGGATACGGAGGCAAAGGGTTGGTCACTGCAGAAAAACAGAAACGAATAAAAAAATAATAATAAGAGGAAGAGGATTCGTATGAACTCGATTCACATACCTCTCCGACCCCACGTGGTCGTAAAAAGCGGAATGCTACCCTCTTCGACTGACGCACTGTCGATACAAACGTAGAAGAAATTTTTCTTCCAAGAAATAGAAAGCGTTGAGCAGCCCGTAACAATTTCGTCATGAGGGCATAGAGTGATTCTCTGCGATTGTCCCGTGGGCTTCAACAGACTTTCGAAATGATCGACGTTAAGGGTAATTCCCTGCTCATAACTCAGCGTCAGGAGACCAACGAGTTGCTTTAAACCAGGGGGAGTCAGCTGACTGATCGATAGCCCCAGCCTGTAAAGGTAATGAACAATGATTTCCGGGATCAGAAACCATAAGTGGCATTGTTGCAAGAAAATGTTGTAACATGTGAAAAAACCCTCGGGCGCATCGTTGTCGCCCTCCCCGGCAAGTGGGAGACGAAACTCGACAGCCTCTGGAACTCGGTAAAATTTGCGCATGTAATCGATACTGTTAAAAAGAGCCGAGCTCGGATATCTGGAAGTTTGATCGACGTCCAACAAAGCTGGAACCCAAGTCCCAGGCCTAGCGGACCCCGACTCATCTCCCAACGCCCAAAAAGCCTCGCGGTCCGTCGGATCGATTAACGGGAACGAATACTCTTCTTTCGGAGCCGAAACTGGAGGCTGCGAACTCGTTCCCTCAGAATTGCGAAAATTGGAACTAGTTGAGGAACGAGTCTTTCTTCCTGAAAAAATGTTTGAAGATCTTCAAAGAAAGTAGAGAGAAAAATTTCTTGGATAAGTTGTAGAAGATGGGGTAAAGAATTCAAAATTTTACTCCATCTACTTATAGGAAAGAATTTTACTATTCACCCTTGGACTTTTGGCCATTAAAATTCCGCCTAATTCTACCAAACTCGCCAAACAAGCTCAATCCACTCGCAAGAACCACACGATTCTTACGAGCTGGGGGGCTAACTGTCGGGGTCAAAATCGGTACGACGGAATCAATAGCCAAAATTCCCCGCAAAAACATAAAAGGAATAGTTTTATAAAACCCAAATATCGTTTTATAAAACAAGAAGACGTTTTACGAAACTCGCAGATCGTTTTATAAAACTCGAGAAGCCGTTTTATAAAACTGAAAGATCGTTTTCTAAAACTCGAGAAGACATTTTATAAAACCCAAAGATCGTTTTATAAAACTCAAGAAGCCGTTTTATAAAACTCGAAGATCGTTTTATAAAACTCGAGAAGCCGTTTTATAAAACTCGAAGATCGTTTTATAAAACTCGAGAAGCCGTTTTATAAAACTCAAAGATCGTTTTATAAAACTCGAGAAGCCGTTTTATAAAACCCAAAGCCGTTTTATAAAACTCGAAGATCGTTTTATAAAACTCGAGAAGTCGTTTTATAAAACTCGAAGATCGTTTTATAAAACTCGAAGATCGTTTTATAAAACTCGAAGATCGTTTTATAAAATTCGAGAAGCCGTTTTATAAAACTCGAAGATCGTTTTATAGAACTCGAGAATCGTTTTACGAAACCGCAAAAAACCGTAACAGCCGTAAAACGCGAACTAGGAGGCACTCGGCTAGTTCGCTGGTGAGCGAACTAGTCCATCACGACTAGTTTGCCCACCGGCGAACTAGTCCCACTTGACTAGTTCGCAATTGGACGAACTAGAGACTTCCTGGACGTCCCGAGCCTCGATCTCCCGCATTCCCTATTCGAAACTTACGTCTTTCGACACGGTCGCATCCTGAATCACGGACAAAATGTCTCCCGTTCCATCTCGATCCGACCTATCGTTCGAGTTTTACGATAAAAACCGTAAAACTTCGTTTTCTCGACAAACAACTCGAGGAAATCGTATAAAACAGCAACGGTTAAACGAAACACCGAACATTGCCTAAACTATACGATCTATTCGAGATTTCTCGTTAAAATCGTAAAAAATGCGTTTTTAATAAAAACGTCGAGTAAATCGTTAAAAACGCGTTTTTAATAAAAACTTCGAGTAAATCGTAAAACCTTACGATTAGCTCGAGGAATTTATTAAAAATGGCATCAGATCAGGAAACGATCCCGTACAAAGTCGAAAAACGGATTTATCGCAGAACGCCCCGAAAGGTCCTAAAACGCGATAAAAGCCCATCTCGCGATCTTAACGGAATCTAACCCGAAGATATGATAACGTTTTGACGGTTTACTCGCTGGAGGAAAATAAATGTCAAGCTTGAAGATAATAGGCAGGTTTGAAGAAAAATAGTAGATTTCCGCGGAAGAAAAGGAAGGATCGAGAAAAATGGAAAATTACCTATATACTCAAATCTGGGCGAAATGGAAAGACCGAATGGCCAAGGCGAGGAGTATATAAGTAAGAGGTCTAGGGCAGAAGCAAGGGACACGATTTTCAGAGCTCTCACCACCAAAATTAGCATTTACGAATATTTCTGTTTTCTGTTAGCGAGCTGCGTCTCAATTATGGTTTTTCGTTCTTAAGCATTTCGGCCACTCTTGTTGTACCAGTTCTACGCAGATTCGGAATAAGAACCTCTTTGCTCTCGATTTTCGTTTATTCTTTTAATAATTCTAAGTTTATTGTTATCTTAATCTTCGTTGTGCGGTTCTGCAGATAGCCGGTTCCTCTGGAAACTTAGGGTTTTCCCGAAGTTTCCTTATTTACGATTATTTGACAGTAGGTGGATTTCGGTTCCCACAGTGATCATGTCGCTTCAAGAGAGACTCCTTCAGGTAAGAGTTAGGTTCGTACTCTTGTTTTAGCCTCGCTATCGTGAATCTTATTGGGTGATCTTTCACGCAGGTCCTCTCCCTATTGGATCATTTGGGAGCTCGATTATCAGAGGAGGATGTGTCCTTAGTCAAGGAGGAAGCCAAGGAGCTGTCCCGGCAGCTATCTGAGGAGAAAAGCAGGAGGGCGGCCCAGGGGACGGAACTGCGCGATCTACAGGCCAAGATCAAGGCGATTGAAGATTCGGTGTTAACTCCTTCGTCGGAGGCTCTGGCGCTAGATCGTAAGAGCCAAGAATTGGAAGAAGCTTTGGAGAAACTAAGAGCCGAGGCGAAGATCTCTGAAGATATGAAGGTGATGGATGTGAACAGGGCGAAAATCACCTCTCGATGGTAGGTAATGCGAGATTGGCTCTATGGACGGGCCCACAGCTGGGACTTCGCCAGGGATTTCGATCGGTATAAGGCCGTGGTTCTTGTTCTCAAAGGCGTGGATCCTCCCTCTTTTGAGGACGAACCAGATATCCCTCCATCTTCAGGCTCTGGCAGATAATGAGATTTTTGTCTTTAACGCACTTGTCTTTATTTCATTGTTTGAACCTCTTCGAGCCCTGAGCTCTGTTGCTTTTATGCACTTCACTTTTTTAGCAGTAATTTTTTTACGCATAGGTTTGTCTGAGGGTCAGAACCCTGCTGATTTGCCAGCATGATAGGAACGAAATGTAAAACTCGTAGTTTTTAACACTTAGGACCCAGGGATTTTGGAGGATTTCTAAGACTCTGCTTAGATCCTGAGATCTTTGCTTAAGCCACGTGTTCAACATGGAGATAGAAGAACTTTTAGAACGTGGGAGCTTATAAGTCTAATTGATAGGTTTGCCATCTGGGCTTGAAGATTCTGGTTGAACCGGGAGACTTTGGTTTAACCCGAAGATTTTTCTTAAACCCTGAGGTTTCTAATTGGGCCCGGAGATGAGGAATGTGAGGTGTCAAATTCATGATTTTGAACACTGGGAACTCGGAAGCTCATAATCTAACCCTGAGGTTAGATATTGGAATCCAAGTCGGTTGCTTGGGACCCTGGGGTCTTTCCTGTATTACAGGGGAACTTGTTCAGAACCCTGAGGTTACTGAGTAAATTCTAAGGTCTTTGACCTAGACCAGGAGGTGAGTAGATATGAGATGTAAAATTCGGGATTTTGAACATCTGGGACCCGGAGGTTATTGTCTTCGAGATCGTATTATGCTCCCTTAGGTAGGCCACTACCGATCATGGGTAATTAGATATGAAAATTTAAAATTCAAAATTTTTCACATTTGGAACCCGGACGTTCGCTGTCATCGAGATCGTATTATGCCCCCTATAGGTAGGCCACTACCGATCTCGGGTGATTAGATATGAAAATATAAAATTTGGAATTTTTAACATTTGGAACCCGGAGGTTCGTTGTCATCCAGATCGTATTTTGCCCCCTTAGGTAGGCCACTACCGATCTCGGGTAATTAGATATGAAAATGTAAAATTCAGAATTTTTAACATTTGCAACCCGGATGTTTGTTGTCATCGAGATCGTATTCTGCCCCCCCCCCCTTAGTTAGGCCACTACCAATCTCGGGTGAAGATTTGCATTCTGCCACTCGGAAGTAGGCCACTATCGAGATCATGTAATGCTGCACTCTGCTTTCTGCAAAAAGCCACTCTCAGTCTTATATGTTTGTGCTGGGGTGGGTCTACTTGGAAGTAGTGAGCCACGTACCAGACTTGCTATTTTCCACGTCTGGATGAGTAGGATAGAAGTGCTCCCAGGGTTTTATGCGCCGTCTGCTCCCTGAAACCATGGGAATGATTTAGTACTTTGCAGTTATACGTCCTGGCCCCTGCATCTTGTTTAGCTCAGGGCGTGTTTGACTCGTCGCAGAACCCAGTCTCCTTGCTGGAAGGTTCTGGTCCTGACTTTCTTGTTGTAACTCCTGGCCACTTTTTGTTGATAGGAAATGTTCCTTAGTGGCGATGTTTCTCTTTTTTCGTCGAGTAGGTCCAGGCTTAGAGTTAATAACTTGCTGTTTTCCTCCTGAGAGATAGGTCCGGAGACAGTCGTCCTGACGTGTACCTCTGTAGGTATCATGGATTCCATGCCGTAGACCAGTGAGAATGGAGTCTCCTGTGTGGCTGTTTTCATAGTAGTCCGATAAGCCCAGAGGAGTCCGTGTAGTTCTTCCGCCCGCGCCCGTGGGCTTTCTCCAGGCGTTTCTTAATCATGTTTACCACGGTATTGTTTGTAGAATCGGCATGGCCGATTGATTGTGGGTGCAGCGGTGTGGAGAAGGAGAGCTTTATGTTCCACTCTTGGCAGAATTCTCTAAGTCATGGCTCGTGAACTGGGGCCCATTGTTTGTGACAGTCTCCTGGGGTGTGCCGAAGCGGGTTATCACGTGTGCCCATATGAACTTCTTTATTTTCTCTGTTGTGATCGTGTCTAGGGCCTCATCTTCTACCCATTTCGTGAAGTAGTCGGTTATCACGAGGAGGAATAATTTTTGCCCCGGTGCCATTAGGTATTTCCCGACGATGTCCTTGCCCCCACTTGCTGAAGGGCCAGGGAGAGCTTATGGATTTTAGATTCTCTGGAGGGAGGTTGGAGATCGGCGCGTGCCTTTGGCACTGGTCGCAGGACCTGGCTTGTCTGAGGGCGTCACTGGCTCTGAGAACCAGGCTTCGTCCGCTGGAGTGAGAGCCTCATTCTCCCTCATGGACTCCTCTAAGATTATGGCGGCTTCTCTAGGGGTGAGACAACGCAGGTACGGTCCTGAAAAGGATCTTCGATACAATTTCCCTTCGGTAATGCATTATCTTGCTGCTTGTGTCTTTATCTTTCGACTTTCGCCTCGGTCCTCGGGGAAGAGGTCGTGTGTCAGATAGTCGGTGATGGGGGTCATTCAGGTTTCCTCTTAGTCGAGTACAAAGACTTCTTTGGGATGTCCCTCTCTTTCTATTGCTGGCCACTGGAGTACCAGAAGGGGAATGCTCATCTGGCTAGTGATTTCTAGATTGGCCAGGGCGTCGGCATGGGTGTTTTGTTTCCTGGGAACTTGGGTAAGCTTGCAGCTCTGGAATCTTACGCTTAGGTGATTTGCGACGGCGAGGTATCTTATCATGCTGGCGTCCGTGGCCTGGTAATCGCCTTGGACCTGGCTGATGATCAGCTGGGAGTCGCTGAAGACCTGGATCTCCTCTGCTTCTATCTGCTTGGTGAGTGCTAGGCCTGCTATTATGGCCTCGTATTAAGCTTTGTTGTTTGTAGCTTTGAAATTACATCTTACTGCCCTCGATGCTGATTCGCCAGTTGGGGAGATTAGAACCAGGCCTACTCCTGCCCCTTGGACGTTGCTGGAGCCATCTCCTTATGTGCCCTGAAGGCCAATCTCTGACTCTATGGCCGGAAGAATAGAAGGGGAGAATTCGAAGACGAAGTCGCCAAGGACCTGTGATTTGATTGTCGTGGCAGGCCTGAAGACTATGTCATATTCTCCAAGCTCTATTGCCCATTTGGCGAGGCGTCTTGACACTTCGGGCTTATTGATAGGAATCAAGCTCCCTACAGAGGTAAGGAAGAGGCTGATCGACTTCCTATGCTCCAACTCCAACTGCTTTGCCTGGACACACGAAGATATGCCTGGAATCGATCCCGAGATCATCATGCATAAATTACAGGCAGAAAATTTGATCCAGAAAGAGATGAAATCATCAACAAGGAGGTCAAGAACCTGCTCGATGGTGGATTTATAAGGGAAGTGCAGTACCCGGAGTGGCTGGCCAACGTCGTTGTAGTAAAGAAGAAGAATGAGAAATGGAGGGTCTGCATCGATTTCACCAACCTCAATAAATCATTCACCAAGAATCCTTTCCCCTTGCCCCACATCGACAAGCTGGTCGACACCACCTCAGGCCATCAGCTCATGAGTTTTATGGACGCCTTCTCAGGCTACAACAAAATTCTCATGCATCCAGACGACCAGGAGAAAAATTCCTTGATGACTCCCAGAGGAATCTACTGCTACAAGTTCATGCCTTTTGGCTTGAAGAACGCGTATTCGACATGTCAAAGGCTCGTGAACATGATGTTTGCCGATCAGATCCGGCAGACCATGGAGGTCTACATATATGACATGCTGGTCAAGTCCGTCGAGGCAGAAGATCACATCTCCCATCTACAGCGAGCATTCGTCACTCTTAGGAAGTACAATATAAAGCTCAACCCATTGAAGTGCTCATTTGGAGTCAGGTCTGGTAAATTATTGGGATATATAGTTACCTACAGGGGCATCAAGGCTAACCCAGAGCAGGTGCGAGCCATCCAAGCGATTCCCTCTCCACGAAACGTCAAAGAAGTCCAAAGACTAATAGGCATGATGGCCGCGCTGAGCAGATTCATCTCTAGGTTATCCGACAAGTCTCATGCCTTCTTCGAGGCCCTGAGAGAGCCCAAGGATTTGCAATGGAGCAACAAGTGTGAGCTCTCTCTCACCGACCTAAAGGCCTATCTCACCATGCCTCCTCTCCTTTCAAAGCTCCTAGACGGAGAAACCTTGCTACTCTATCTCGCTGTGTCCGAACACGCAGTAAGCGGGGTCCTTGTGAGAGAAGAGGGAAGGAGGCAATACCCCATCTACTACGTGAGAAAGTCCCTAGTGGATACAGAAACTCGCTACAGCTGTTGGGGTCAAAATCGGTACGACGGAATTAATAGCCAAAACTTTCCGCAAGAATACAAAATGAACAGTTTTATAAAACTCGAGAAATCGTTTTATAAAGCTCGAGAATCGCTTTATAAAACTCGAGAAATCGTCTTATAAAGCTCGAGAATTGTTTTATAAAACTCGAGAAATCGTTTTATAAAGCTCGAGAATCGTT